TGCTAACGTAATCGAATTAGTATAGTCATAATTAACGTCATCGCGCGAATTAACTGCCGCACGCGAATCGGTTTTACTGCGCGAAAATTCATCATGGATACGCGCGCTTTTCACGTTAATTTCGCGCTTTTAACTTCGGATGAATAACCTCTTGAAATTTTAAGGGGTGTGTTATATTAGGCTAAAAGTTACGCGAATTTGAGGCAAGAGAGAGAGAGAGAAATTAGAAATATTTCTGCAAGTAACGTTTAAGTATAAGATATGAAGATGTTACACGAAGATATTATAGAATGCAACTCTCCGATTTCTCTCCCTCAATCTCTCACTTCGGATAAAATTAAATTTATTTTTCAATAATACAACTAGCAACGTAGCGTAAAAAACTAATTTTTTTGAAACTGTATTTTGACATGTAGCAAACAACAGAAAGAAACAACAGCAGAAAAACAATGTCAGAGCCATATATATTTTTATAAATAATAGAAGAAAAACCTATGGTAACACGAATATATAAAAATTTACCGATAATATATTATGAAACAAGTTTTATGGTTTAAAGGCTAATGAGTTCTTTCAAGCCGATAATGTTTCTTCGTGTCCCGATAAAAAAATACTTCGCTAACCTACTATGCTGTTTACCCTACTAGAAGCTTTTTTTTCCACAAGGAAGGACAGTATCAATTTTCCTCGATCGCGTCTTCCTTTTTTATCGGCACGTCCTTCGGCACAGAGGGAGTGAACTTTTATTACAGCGACCTTATTCGGCAAACAGTATTATTTTAATCGGCCCTTAATAGCAAAGCTTTCTCTCTCGTGATCGACCGCAAATTTCTTCGCAAACTCGAGACTTTTTACAAACCTTCGCTCGTGCAATATCACGCAAAAACGCATGTAATACGATTGATATTTGTTGAACACACAACGCGTATAGAAGCCACTTTAACGTTAATTCGAGCGTCCATAATATTTGTATTACGCATTGTTTGATCGGTGAAATGTGGTATCAATTTATAAAAAAATAACACAGCAATATACAGAACAATCAATAATGGAAAGTAAAATTATTTTATATTGTGGAATAATAGAAAGACTCTTATTCAAATCGCGTTTATTTTATTACAAAGATGAAAATATGATATGAATTAACGCGAATTTATTTTACTAGAAGCTTGAATGGAGAGAATAGTAATGGTTAAAAAAAAATACTGTACTCTATTATTATACTATCTTTCGGATGTATTCAAAACAGCGGGGACTCGTAGAGTTAGAAGGGCAGACGTGCGCCAGAGAGAACAGCGCGCGTACTCGTCGTCACATGTATTTACATATACATGCACACTATGTGCACTCGCGCACACATCAGCGGTTCTCAATTGCTGCTTCGCGATTTAGAAACGACGCAATTCTACATCGGCCGCAACAAATCGCTCATTTCAAAAGTGACGCCTTAGTTTCCCGATTTAGAATGTGATTTAACAGAGAGCTGGAGGAAAGTTTTGATTATGAAAACAAAAATAAAGCTGAATAGGATAAAATGTCGTGAACGTAGATAAATTTTATCTGGAATGAAAATATTGTTGAACTTCTCAATATGAATAATCTCGAAATTAAGTTATCATAATAAAACTCTATTAAATTTTTCTAACTATATGAAAAGTTTAAATATTCTTAGAGCAATAGTCACGAAATTACAAAATTACTCCTTATCGAGAATTATTTTAATTTGATTTTCCTCAAAAAAGTTTTTTCTCTTTTTTTGTGAATTACAAGTGAATTACTAGTGAATCACCCGAGAAATTTTCTACCAAGTTCGAATGTCATAATAAAGAAAGTTTCATAAGACAACGAAATTTCCCGGATTCTGAAAATTCTTACGGTAAAAATACCTGACCTCGGGCAGGTTCACTGAGATAATCTAAATGGAGAATCACTGACTTGCGAGCACACACAATGACCACCTGCGCGCGCGTACACGCAGCACACACGCGCAGTAGCATCGAGTGGATCAATAATTTTTGATACTCTCGTACAGGACATTCAAAATACGCGTTCACGGCGCATGGAACGTAGTACGACGGCGGCAGGAGCGAAAACGCGTAGAAAAGTGCGTGGAAAACTTGCGTTTTATTCTGTGGACCAAGAAAGGCGAGAGATGATGCTCCTTTACTCGCGGAGCGGAAAGCAGAATCGAGCGCGCGCGCGCGCGCGCGCTCGCGCTCGCGCTCGCTCGTGGTAAAGTCGCGTCGAATAGCGGCGCTTCGCGTTCCGATGCGCTAGAGACACTTCAAGTCGCGAGCAGAGTCCGTGCAATCCGCCACTTTTAATCAATATAAGCCAGTTTTAGTCGGGTTGCAGTCAGTAGAGAATGGAGAATATGTTGCTCGGCTTTTCAGGAATTTTTTCGTGATCTCATTTAAAGATACGTCCAGGCATTTCTTAATATAAACTCTGGCTTTCAGGAAAAATACGTGGCAACGATTAGATTAGATAATGGACTAATTAATTGACAGTGAAGAATGGTAAAGCGCTAAAAATATATTCTTATTTTTCCCATGTTTATTTTCAATATATCGATAAATCTTGTATAATACTTGTATAATACTCTTGGATAAATAATTATTCGATTTTTTCATGTTATTTCTAGACGTGCACACACGTAAAATGTAAAAAAGGCGAGCGAGAGACTGCTATCTCTACTCTATAAATTCGAAAGCTTTTTTTTTATTTTTTTCTGATTACGAAGTCTATGCCGACCGGATGTCAGCGGTCTAACATAACTGTTTTAAAAAAATACTTCAACTGAACTGCAGTTAGTTTTACAAACACCCAAGATAATCGAAAATGTTATTACTGAATATAAAATTTATCTCTATTAATTAAACATAATTAACGTGGTATTTTTAATTACACAATATCTCGAAACTCTGGAAATAATTTTTTTTTTTTAGAAGGAAGTTTGATGAGAAACAGCAAATATTGCGTAAATACAAGTTTAATGACCCTAACAACGCTTTTCTGTTAAAGCATCGATTGTAAATACTTTACTTTACGCGCTTCTGAAAATTTTTGCTTCCAAGAACACGACGGACTTGCTTATTTACGACGTATTTATCTTGCGTTTCAGCGAGAAACATTCGACGTTTGTAGCAAAGATCCGGTCAAAGGCTAGTTGCACACCGCAGCGGTAACGCGTCGGAAATTATTCTCGGATGGTTTCCTGTTTAAGTCGACAAAGTCGTACGGAAATAATGCAACCCGCGCGGACGTGGAATTACAGGTGACAGTAAACGCTAAATTTGAATGAAGCATGCGACCTCGCGCGAGATTTTTGCGACGTCCGTCATCATAACGGATTATG